AAGTTAAGTAATTTTATTTTAAAATTCGCCTCTCAGCTTCAAAATATTATAATTATACAGGTAACTCGTAAAGGTAGAGTTCATTTCTGCCGAATTAAAAGAATTAAAAAGAAAAAATAGTGAATGTTTTTAACATGTTCTTCTAATGAAATGATTATTTTTGCTTTTTTAAGTTGGATCACTTCGGTCTGAAGTTTAAAAAAAAAACCTGAAAAAATAGAGGAAAACAAAAATGAATAAAATGACTTTTTTAACTGACGCAGCACCCGATGAGGTCGAAAAAAACCTGCATGAAAATAAAAATAAATTTAAAAAAAGAATTTACTTATTTGCCAAAAAAATAAAATCGAAATTAAAAAAATTTAAAAAAATTTAAAATAAATAAAAAAAAATCGAAAAAAAGAAAGAAAAAGAAAAAAATCCTAAAAAAAAATAAAATGATAAACAAGAAAAAAAATTTAATAAATAAATGCCGCGAAATTAAATTATAATTCAGCTAATAGCTAAAAGTTAACTATATTTGCGAAATTTTTTAAAAAAAAAAAAAAAAAAAAAAAAAAAATTGGCATATTGTGATTGGTTAAAATAGTTTTTTTATAAGTTGTCTGAAATTCAGATAACAAAAAGGGTGTCTGAAATTGGAATTCCAATTTCAGTTAACTGAAATTGGAATCTCAATTTCAGACACTCGAAGATCGTCTGAATTCCAACTTCAGACGAAAATCAATTTCAGTCACAACACCGGCATTATAACCATAATTATCACCATAATATGTATTATTGCTAATCTTTAAATTTATAGTATTATCAGGTCAGAATTTCTTTTTGATTATAATTATTGAGGAATTTTAGATATTTAATTAAAAATTTAAATAATTAAATCTAAATAAATTGAGGTTTTAAAAACGGTATAAATTTTGATTTTATTTTTTTAAAAAATAATTACCATCCAGTCAATAAAGATTGATCCTAACTCTTATTAAAAAAATTCAACCAATACCTTTCGTACGCAAATAAATCATAATTACTTGATTATAGAATGAGACTTTGGTGGTTAGTACGATTTGCAGATTTGCAGAAATGTTATTAAGAATTCTAAAGATAAGATAATTAAGAATTATCTACTGTTCTAACCATCAGATTTCTGACCAGAATATGTCTTTAGCTAAGTTCTAACATCATGAATTTAAATTACAATAAAATTAATTGCGATGTTGTTGTTATTTTATAGCAAGGCAAGGATAATAGAAAAAGATAATTTGCATATTTAATTTCTCCAATTACAGTTTGATTTACACAGTACATAGTGACTGTAAAGGTTTGAGTTTATTTTGTAGAATTGATATAAAAATGTGCGTCGATCTCGTGATCAGTAAAGGTTTTTTATATTTATTTTCATTCTTAATTTTTTAAAAAATTAATTATATCAAGAGACCGAAAGATCGACTGCAGTTTTTTCGAGATCGACAAGAATTAATTACAGTTCATTTTAATAATTAAAAAAAAAAAAATTAGAATTAGAATACCGAAATGGTTTAAAGCATGTGATCTCCCTGACATCTGTGGGTAATATACACAGTATATAAGGTCTACCTGATTTTTCGTCAAAAGAAAAAAAAATACATTTCACTCATGAAGAAAACATTATTATACATTATATTACATTTTTCATCGGCAGTTCTTGCTGATTGGATCACCATAGAACATGATTTTAAAATGTGCGACCAGGTCGTACCTTCTGATACTGCGGCGGTCCACATTGATGATGATGGCGTTACTTATGCGACGTCCCTTTTGGTCAGGGATGTTCAAGTTGTAAAGCATGAACTACCCTTAACTACTCTTAACGTCACTATGTGGGGGTGTACCTATGATTGTCGCTTCAGCTTTATGTTGAAACTAAACAGGGATGATCTTTCGGTTTCGTCGTATACCAATGAAAACCTTAATAACTACATATGTAATTTAAGTAATTACACGATGAAACTAATTCCGCATCCTAAAATTACATATAAGCATGAAACACCGAACCCAGATCATGTATTTCCAACTCATCTAACTTCACATTATTGTAGTAAAGGCATACACCCTGATGCACCTGGATGGGTAATTAATAAAACAGATAATGTAGCCGAATGCATCGATCATTTGACTGGTAATGATGTTGGAACATACGCTGCTTCACTTCAGTACGGTTCAGGCAGCTCTTACAAAGCTGAAGGTTATGGTGTTGCTACAATGCACATGATTAATTCGGCAAACAAGTTATTCGATTATTGGGAGAGGCACCATCGAGGGTTCCATGAAGCCATTACTGAACTAAGTGTTAAAATGACTATCGATAATTTAAAGGAATTGATCCCACCACCGCCGCTACCGCCTAAAAAAAACCTCCTCAAGATCATATTACCTGTAGTCGCTGGCATTGTTATTTTAGCTGTGGGAGGTATAGTGGGAGGTATAATTACCGCAGGTGAGGAGGTCGGGGTCGGGGTCGAGGTCGGGCTCGAGGCAGAAGAATCCCTTCTTGGATCATCCGAAATTAGTGCCGAAATTGGTGCTGCAGAAGATGTTATGGCAACATCAGCTGAAGGATCGGTAGAAAGAAGTGTAGCGTCAGCTTGGAGAAATCAAGCTTTCGAAAGAGGACTCAAACGAGTTGCAAAAAAATTTAGTGATAAATGCGGTATGGCAGAAGCCAAGTTACGAAATTGCTTCACCCAATTTACTCCAGATGATACAATAGATTATTTGGTAAATTTATATGAAAAAACGGAAAATCCGAACATTGCTCGAACCCTTGCTGCTTTGAATAGGGTTGACCCATCTTTCAGAGGACGCAGAAAAAGGGATACGGTGAATAATTTTGGATTTTTTACGTCGAACCCGGTGAATGTATTCTTTATTCCAACTTTAATGGACAATGTTCATCAATCATTTATCGGCAATGGTCAAACCTATCCAGATATTTCATCATATCTGTCAGCCGCAAGTGAACATCTCCAATTTCATTTTGATGATACATTACACAATAATTTTTTTGCTGCAAACAAGTCAGTATTAGCTAGTTTTACTGTTAATCAAGGGGTGAATTTTGATCAAATGCTTGACGATGATGATGACATATATACTTCTGTTAAACAAAGTACATATAATAATATGGCGGCATCAATAATAAGCGATACCTTACAAAAGTTTAATGTTGAAATATGTGACCCAAAACCTTCATTTTGCGGACAACCTTGTGATTCTGGTCATATTTATTGTCCAACAATCGGAGATGATAACTGTATAATAGGTGCCTCAGATGGACAAATAAAAGAACTTAAGTTTCTTCGAGATACCTTTGATATATGTTCAACTAATACTATGAAGACTGGTTGGAATATAACTCATAATTCCAATTGTGATATTAAACAATTTTCAATGTCAATAATAGGTCAAACGTGAATGCAATTTTTAGATAATAATCATCATTACTGTTAGTTCTTTCATTTGAGATTTTGATATTATTTACATGATTAATATATATACTAATTATAAAATTTATTAAAATTTAATTTAATCATTTTAAAACATAAATATTTTGGTGTAGTTTTAAAAAAAAAAAAAAAAATTCATTAAAGACGAAAAAATATAATTATTGTTAAAGAAAAAAAAATTATGGTTTTTTATCATCATAATTAAAGTTTATACACACAAACTTGCGAATAAGTTATTTTAATTAAAATTTAATATACAAGATAATTTTGGTTGAAAATTTTTTTTCTTACTGCGTCATTCGTAAAGCTAAATTTTGTTATTTATCTTTTGTGATTTTTATATACGTATGATAATATAACAAAAGAAAATTCTTTACTAAAGAAAACTTTTTTTAATTACATGAACACGCGCCTGGACACTCTAGTCTGGTTTCTTTTTTCTAAAAAATAAAAAAAAAAAAGCATTAACGACGTACTATGAAATTGATTCTTATTATTTTTACCTCGACAAATTTGACAAATTTACGGAAAAAGCGGAAAAATGAGGTTAGTAAAAATCACATTTTCCACTTTATTTGTTTTAAATGGTTGATTGAGTATGATTTTTTTCTGTCGCATTAGTCGTCAAAATTTATATATATAAGTAAGTAAAGTTATTATCGATAAATTAAAAAATTTAACAGAGTGATATTTCAATTATATCTACGTTTAAACTTTAGTTTTTATTATCGTTATCCCAAGATTAGTTTTCACATTCTGCATTTTCTAATAAAATCATCCACGGCTTTGTTCTTCAAGTTTCCTTACACCGATTAAATGAATAATAACATCAATTATATCATTTTGATTCACTCAAAAGCACCTTCTCGCTAATAAATGTCACTGTCAAAGATTGTCATTATCCAATCAAGATACACGATAAATTAATTGTTTGTCGCACAACAAATCATAAAAAAAAAAATTAAAATAAGAAAATAAAAATTTGATTTCAACTTCAAATTTATTTCTTCAAATTATGAATATAGAACGTACAAGTGATGTTCAAATAGATGAAAACGTTAATTTCGAAGTATTAATTTCAAATCCTAACATAATAAGAGGATTATCCGAAGCTGGTTACGAACGTCCTTCACCGATACAATTAAAAGCGATTCCTCCTGGTAAACTTGGGTTAGATATTATCGCACAAGCTAAATCTGGAACCGGAAAAACTATAGTTTTTGGCATTATAGCATTAGGAATGCTAGATTTGAATAATCTGAAGCCTCAGGTTCGATAAAGATAAACATATCAAATGTACTTTTTTATGTGTATACATATACATTTATAATAATAAATTATAGGTATTGATTTTGGCGCCTACTCGTGAGATTGCTGTACAGATAAAGGAAGTCATTTGTAATATCGGTCGTTATATGGAAGGCTTAAATTGCCATGTCTTTATTGGAGGTTTGCCTATTGGTAAAGATTTACCGAAAATTGAAAAATGTCAAATTGTAATAGGAACACCTGGTAAGTCTTTGGTTTTATAAATATATCTCTCTTTTCCTATCTATCTAATTAAATTTAATTTTCTTTAGGACGAATTAATATTCTTTTACGTAAGAAGAATATGTCTAGCAAAAATTTGAAATTGCTGGTTCTAGATGAGGCAGATAAATTAATGGAAAGCAATTTTTTTTCACAAATAAAGTAATTATTTATTATTTATTTTTTATTTTTATTCTTTCCTTTAATGATGATAATGATTAATTTTAACTATTTAGGAAAATTAATGACAAACTTCCTGTTAATAAACAAGTTCTTGCATTTTCTGCAACATATGACAAGCCTTTATTGAAAGCGCTTAGTCACTTTGTTCGAAATCCACACCATATTATGCTTACAGATGATACACCTTGTCTACAAGGTAAAAAAAGAAAAGAAAAAAAAAAAAGAGTATAAACCAACAATTAAACGTTAATTAATATAAATTTTCTGTTTTCAGGAGTTTTGCAATATTATCAATTAGTTGAATCCCCTGAAACAAGTAATATACTGGAAAAGTTCAAAATTTATGAAGCGAAGTTCATAAAATTAGCAGAACTTTTAGGCAGAGTACCCTTTTATCAGTGCATTGTTTTCATAAATCATCGCGGAAGGTGATTTATTGATTGAAAATAAAAGTAAAAATATATTTCAGAACGTAATTTTTTTTTTATATATTTAATATTTGCATTTAAATCATACTTTAATAGGGCTGTTGATTTGGCGAATTATTTGACAAATCAAGGATGGATGTCATTATACATATCAGGCATGGAGAGTTGTTTGATGAAAATGATATCAATTTTAAATTATTTAATACAAATGATTTATTTGAATAACTAGGGGGGTTGGATCAACAAGAAAGACTTGAAACAATGTCGAAGGCTCGCAGATTCCAGATAAGGGTCCTTGTCTGTAGTGATTTGGTATAAATATAAAATATTTTGATTGATATCCTTTTAAAAAGAAGGTAATTAATTAATTCATTCTAAGATTGCTAGGGGCATTGATATCGAAAGAGTAAATTTGGTTGTGAACTTAGATATGCCTAAAGATGCTGAAACATACCTTCATCGAGTAGGCAGAACTGGACGTTACGGTTTGTTACAAGGAATGATTCTTATTTATTTAATTTCAAAACTTCTAACAACTAATATCTAGGAACTTATGGATTGGCGATAAGTTTTGTGGATGTTAATGAAATGAACTTTATTGAATCTTTAAAGGAAAATTATCATGTTGGAATTCATCCACTTTCTGGTATAGATGATAACATTTATGGTTTTAATATATAGGGTGTTTTTTCTTTGAATTTTGTACAAGTTATATTTTCGTTTTTTTAGATGAAATTTCATTTAAACATCATCAAAGAACACTAATAACTGAGACTGATCAAAAGGCATATGAAAAATTTTTAGATGAAAGAGATACCATCAAGGTAGGTTCATTTTATATAAATTTAAATATGATTTATTTTAATCATTGCTGATTTATTATTATTTTTAGGTTCAAATTCCTGAGGTGCTTCCTGTTGTATTTTCTACTGATGATAAAAAGAAAGCATCACATTTAAATGATAAGATTACCGAAAAGGATAAAAAGAAAAAAAAACAAATGAATGTTATAAATTCAACTTCTTTATCTCAATATCCACAAAGTGATAATAATGCATCATATGAGTATTATAATAATTATCAATATTGGTATAATAATGAATGGTATAATTATAATTATAGAAATTGGCCTTATAATTATTATTATAGTAATATGTATGATGATTTTATACCTCCAGATTTATTATTTTAATAAATAATTTTAATTTTAATTTTATTTTTAAATAAATTTGTTATTTCTTTAATGATTTGCTTTTAAATTTAAAGATAATTTTATTTGTTAATTATTACAAATTAATTAATTTAAAGTTTTATTTTTTTTTAATAAAGTATTTTTATATAAATATTAAAATTTTAATATATTATTAATATATAATCCGTGAGTTAATTATGATGTAAATCATTATCGTTATTAAATATTTTAATTTGATCAATACAAAAAAAAATTATCTAAGTCACAGGCTACAAATTTGACAATTTGTTGTTACAAAGTTTACTTAGTATGCAAGCAACATTTATTACCTTTCAATAAGCACTATTCAGGATTAATAAGATAGAAATTTAATAATTTATACTTTATTTACTTTATTAATATTTTCAAGCTATTTAAAAGCCTGTTTAAAGGTTTTTGATAATTCAGTTTCTATCAAAAATTAAAATATAGAAATTTTCGTCAATGGCCAAGAGAACATATGCAGTATCAAATAAACATACATGAAAAATTAAGTAGTACATTTTTTTATTTGCAATACATTAAATAATTATAAAGTTCGAGAACTCAGCCTGGGGATATGATAACTATATTACTACATTTCTTTGTGATACAACACTATGCTTCGTGATGCAAATCACAATACCTTTATACACGAAAAATAAACATAGTCTTTCTATGTAACAATTTTATACTACGCAATCTCAGCAAGATTTCATTCAGGTGATCAATCAAGTCGAAAAACATAATGTGAAAAATCTTACATCCTTAGCTTCTCATATAATTACCAAAAATTAATCCTGTCACAAGACTGATGATTTGGTAAAAATTATATGAAATGTAATTACTGGATGATTTTTCACAAAAATCGTAAATTATTAACTGATGCACATATGCGACGTTTGATATGGATTAAATTTTTGTCTTTAAATAAATACTAAACTTTACAAATTGTGAAATAGTATGCAAATTTGCCATATTTCTGACATTACATCTTCTAGCTAGAAATACATATTGATTTAAACATCTATTATATGCTTTCTCTTTATCTATTTATTCGTAACTTTCATTTAAAATACTTTTATCGCTTTCGATTTTTCATCTTTTGTAAGGGATTCATCAGCAAGAATGGTTTATTTTTTAAATTCATGAATTTTTTTTAGATTATTATGAGTATAATTGAATCAAAGACTTGAGAAAATATAAAAACCCATAAACTTTCAGTTTGTTACTATAGTTCCCGGCGAAAAAAATGGCAGAAACATATTTCGATGGTATGTACAAACTTTATTTTAATATATATTTTTTTTTTATTATTTATAAGAACAATACTAACGACAACTTTTATATGATTAATTAATATTTGGTGTGTCCT